ACTTCTCACTAGGGTTTACAAGATATTATCTCTGCCTATCTCCTCAATCTACTACAGCTCCCCTCAATCAGCCAGAGTCCTGCCTACTTTCTTTCATAGATCAAGCATGTTTCTGCCTCAGGACACTATTACACTGGCTGTTCCCTCTGCCTGGAATACTCTTTCTTCAGATCATTGCATGACTGATTCCTTCTCAGGAATTCCTTTTCGGTGTCATCTCTAAAGAGAACCCTTCCCTGGCCATTCTACCTAAAATATTATACTACTCTAATTCCATTGTCTTCTTTTAGTTTGTTTATTGGCTTTATCTTTACCTAAAATTATAATTTTTTTCTTTTCCATGATTATTGTCTTGTTCCTCCCACTAGAATGTAAACTTCATGAGGACAGGAAACTTAGGGAAGCAATAGAACATAGTGGTTAGGAGCATGGCTTCCAGAGCTAAACTGTCTAAATTCAAATCTCAGTTCTGCCACTTATTAGCTGAGTGACTCTGGGAAAGTTACCTAACTTCTCTATGCCTTAGCTTGCTCTTCTATAAAATGGGGAAAATAACAGTAATACTTCTTTGAGTTGTTGCAAAAATTAATCTGAATACATGCAAAGCACTATATCCTCAGTATCTAGAAGAGTGTCTGGCATGTAGTAGGTGGCCAAGAAATATTTGAAGGCTGACTGCATGAATGAATCCTTGATGCCTTCTATTCCTTCTCTCCTTTCCTTCCTAGTTTCCTTTGAGAAGATTTTCTCTGACTATAACCCTGCCCTCTGCCCAAGACTAAGTTTGTTCCCCTGTTATGTCTACTCACAGAACCCAGACTTCTTCCAATCCCTAATTGCTGGATATAGCTATATATTTGTATGTGATCTTTGTAATATAACTGGTCTCTCTCCAAAAAAACTTCAAGCTTGCTGAGGGCAGGGCCTATGTTTGTTATATCTATTATGGAATCTCCCCTGCATACCATAATGCCTGACATAATAGGTACAGAGTAAATATTTTTTAGCTGAATGACCCAAAAACTTTGACTCATTTTTCTCTAAGAAATGCTACTTAAGAAACATGATTTGAGGGGTTCCTGGGTGGCTCAGCCATTAAGCGTCTGCCTTCGGCTCAGGTCATGATCCCAGGGTCCTGGGATCGAGCCCCGCATTGGGCTCGCTGCTCGGTGGGAAGCCTGCTTCTCCCTCTCCCACTCCCCCTGCTTGTGTTCCTTCTCTCGCTGTGTCTCTCTCTGTCAAATAAATAAAATCTTAAAAAAAAAAGAAACATGATTTGAGAAACTTAATAAGTACTTGGCAGCACTTTTTGAAAGGTAATTCAGATTTAAAGTTGTTGTTGCACCTCTGCCTCCTCTTTTTGTTCAGTTCAGTATTGAAGCACAGAAAAAGATACATGAATTCAAACATTTTGGCCTCTACTCTTAATTCTTGATCTACTTCCTGAAAGCATCATGTCAACAAGCAACTGGCTGGCTTCTCCTTTGCTAATTCCTTGCATTTTAATGGTATTCACCCCAACATTCCTTGCCCTTCTTACCTATGTCTTACTAATAAGGACAATGTTGGTCCTGATAGGACTAAGTTTGTTTTTCCCCCGCCACCCCAAATCAATCAGTTTTTCTAATAAAATAATGCATTAGAACTCACCGCTAGTACAGCTCCTATATATTCTCTCATCCATTACAGACTTCTAATCAATTGAGAGTTATTGAACACTTACTATAGGAAGGCTACCAGCTTGGCTTGAAGGTATTGTTTTAAGTACTGCTTCAGGAGAAGGGGCAGAGGGCTATAATTTCTTTCTATTCCCCTCTCTTATCTTTAAAGTTTTCCTTCCCTTCCTTGCTAGCCTGGTTTCTTACAACTCAGTAAACAGCAGGTGAGATACCTGTCATTTAAGAGGTCAAGAAGCCAAGATAAACTCATAGAAGTTAAGAGGCTTAAGAACCCTTTCCTTGATTGGATACCTTGATTGTTACACATAGCACAAACCTTCCAAGCTTTAGGTGCTCCCAAGATCCCTCCTTCCACATTAACTGTAATTTCCTTTTAATGTCTATGGATTGGGGGCATAGGACATACTTGGCCCTCCATAGGCTCCCCATATTGGAGAATACCATCTGGCTAAAGTAACAGAGACATTGGATTCCATGGGGACCACAGCAGCTTGATAAAGGCATGTGGGGCTACAGGAAGAGCACAAGGTCCTGAGTTAGGAGTCCTGTTTCTGTGTCAGATGGGGTGGGTGACTTTGGACAAGTCCTTTGCCCCTCTTGGCCTGTTTCCTTAGTTTTAGTGAGGTTTGAAAGACAAGATATTTGCAAAATTACTTTCAAAATCAGACTGTGAAGCTATTAATACATTTAATTTAAACAGATGCAAAGCCACATCTAGACCCTTACCAGATATGTGAACAGAGCAAGATTAAGATTCAAAGAGTAAGTGGATAGTGAAAGAAGAAATATTAGTTTTAAAATCTCTGAGGAAATTCCTAAATTGCTTCCCACACATTACCAAACGCACCTTCCATTTCTCTTCAAACCAGAGTTAACTCATATTATAAAGCAATGTATGTTTGACATAAGTACATACATCTAAGACCCCATTTTACTTTTGATCTCCATATTTTTTCATACATACACCCTTTTTAATCTCCAACTAACTTGGTCCAACCCAGCCCAGGCTCTAGCTTTGTAACTTAACATGTGGCCTTGGGCCAAGCCACTTTCCTTATATGAGTCAGTTTTCTTCCTTGTCAAAGGGGATGAATCTACTTACCACCTTCATAGTGGTTGTGAAGATCAAATAAGGGACTGCACATGCACCTCTCAGCACAGTAGCTGATACAGGCCAGACATTTACACGGACTTGTTCCCTTTACCCTCCTCTTGTAAGATAGGGCTGGGGCCAATTCTTGCCTCTGGACTCTATGGTAGGGTAGCTCAGACCCTTCAAATGCTTGCTAGTAGCACTACATGACAGGGATCTTCAAGACCATGAAAAAAGTATTAGACAACACCTTGAGAATTTCCTGGTTGTGAAAGGTATGTCTGGGATCCAAAGAAGAGAAGGGCTTTATTTTTTTCCCTAGAGAACTCTTTAAATCAGTGTGGACATTCCCAGAATGTCCTGAGATTTATATTCCACTAACTTTTCTCTAGCACCTAAAAAATATCAAGCCCTGTATTCTGCACCATTGGGGATGTTTTCATTGAGTACTCACAACAAGCCCTTAAAGTGGGGCTAAATAGGTTCATTTTTCAAATGAGAAAACTGAGGCCCAGAAAAAGAAAGAACAAGCTCAGAGAGAGTTCTGATTCACTTTAGTTGGGAGTGAACCAAATTCCTCTTTTTGTCTGAAGCCCAGCTCTCTGGGCCTGTGCTCTGAGAGTAACTATTTCTTACATACTCTCATCGCCTCTAAATCATTTTCCACTTTGCCCCTAGAGTCACCTTCCTAAGACATCCTGCAATCTTATTACTCCCATGCTTTGAAACATAAAATAATTTGGCATTATTTGGCACACAGTAAGCATTTAATAAATGTATATTGAATAAATGTGTGGCTATATGATTAAGTCCAAATTCTTTAGTGTGACATTCAAGGTCTTTCACATTCTGGCTCCAACCTACCTTTTCTACATACTTTTCCCACTCCTCTTTCCCATCTCCACATGCCAGATTATGAACCTTATACCTCGACACCATGGCCCACTTGTCCTTTCCTTCCTATATCTGTTGTGCCCTCTCCTGGAAAGTCCATCCTCCTCAATCGTCTGGCAAATTCTCAGTCACTTTTTGAGACCTATTTACATCTTCTCTGCTCAGGTTACACCTTATCCCTTCCTGTATTATGATAGAATACTGCACTATAATTAATGGGTCACCTTACAGTCTCCCGTTCCTCAAAGCCAAGGACTTGTTTTTATTTATTGTTGCCTCACCCAGTGACCTCCCCCCCCAGTACCTCTTTCATTGACTGGCAAAATCTGTCCACAATAGCCAAACTGTGGAAGGAGCTGAGATGTCCTTCAACAGATGAACGGATAAAGAAGATGTGGTTTATATATACAATGGAATATTACTCAGCCATCTGAAAGGATGAATACCTACCATTTGCATCACCATGGATGGAACTGGAGGGGATTATGCTAAGTGAAATAAGTCCATCAGAGAAAGACAATTATCATATGGTTTCACTCATATGTGGAATATAAGAAACAGCACAGAGGATCATAGTGGAAGGGTGGGAAAACTAAATGGGAAGAAATCAGAGAGGGAGACAAACCATGAGAGACTCTTGACTCTGGGAAACAAACTGAGGGTTGCAGAAAGAGAGGTGGGTGGGAGGATGGGGTAACTGGGTAATTGGCATTAAGGAGGGCACCTGATCTGATGAGCACTGCGTGTTATATACAACTAATAAATCATTAAACACTACACCAATTTGAATTAAAAAAAAAAGAATAAAAAGATCTGAGCTCAGTAACTGTTTTTAGAATGAATGGAGGGCTGGAAGGAACTAGGTCACTCCCCCATTCCCCCAGCTTTAGCAGCTGCTCCCTCCTTCCTCCCCCGCCTCTTCTCTAATCCCACCCCCCTCATCTCCATCTGAATGCCAAAGCCACTAATTCCCCTGCAGCAGCCAGAACATTCAACATCTCAAAAGAGAATTCTTCTGCAGGGTTTCTCTCCAGCGAGAAAGCGTCCACTAATTAGGGACTCCTGGTTATCTTTTGGGAGTGGGTAGGCATAAGGGCCCCGGGAATGGAAGGGTGTGAGTACGTCTCTTATCTCTCCAGTTGCCTTCTGGGGTACTTTTTCCCATTTTTCCCGCATGGGCCAGACGAATATCCTCGTTCCCTTGAACACCTCACAACCTTTGACATAATTATCTGTGACAAATTGATTTAAAACGTGACAGCAGGAAGAGAAACAGGAATGTCTCGCTTGGCCTTCTGGGAGTTGTAGTCCCGCTGGTCCCTGGGCTGCCTGGCTGGTCCAGGAGCTGCGGACTACAGCTCCCAGGGCTGCTCTGAATCCCTACCGCACAAGCTCAGAGCCCCATGCCCGGAGGCGGTGGTTACGTTGTGTCTATTGTATCCCTAGTCGTGTGTGTTTGTACATTTCTCGGGACGTGAAATTGAGAGTGAAAAGCATGGCAGATGAGCAAGAAATCATGTGCAAATTGGAAAGCATTAAAGAGATCAGGTAAGTGGAACATTGCAGCGCCCCCTCAGACCCCTTGAGGCCCCCAAAATACCCCGCTGCGGGAGAGAGCTGAGTTACCTACGGAAAGTATCTATTGTTAAGCTACTTGTGGAGAGGGGCGGGAAAGGAACACATTCACGGAATTCAAGGATAGGAGGGAGGCTGGAAGGTGTCGGGACTGAGGCTAGCGGAGAAACTGACCAAGAGAGACCTCTTGCCAGATGTCAGAGAGAAAGCCAGATGGAGACACACGGGGGTTGGGGAGGACGGGGTGGGAGTGGGCGGTGGGTGGTGGTGGTGGTGTTGGTTCCAAGACAGCTTTTTTCATCTTGGGGTGGTAGTTGGGGGACAGCATTCTTAGATCCATTATTTTTTTAGGGTTTCTTGGCTCCATGGTGTATGTGACTCCTTGCTCTTTCGGAGTCAAGATTTTTTTCAGTCTCCTGATCAATTTCAGGACCTAGAGCTCAGGCTAGCCTTTTGAGAGCAAAGTCCAGCACACTGGGGCTGGTGGTGGCCGCCAGGGACTGAGAGCTGGGGTTGCAGAAGTATCCGGCAGGCTGGGACTGGTAGGACGGCAAGCACTCGCGCGTGTTTATTTTTTGCATTCACACATTCACCACCTTCTTCCTCTCCTACCCGGTGCTCTGTAAGGGGGATGGGAGCAATGGAG